GTCATGTGTTAAATTGGAAAAATAGATAGTGCTCACTTTCTCTCAAACTGTTTTGCTTGGATTAGTCATTTCATTTCAGCATTTCTAAGTATATTTTGAAGACGTGATGTAGATTTTGTTCTATTCCAATTGCTCCTGCTGTTCCCAGCACAGAGACAGCTGGGCAGATTGTTGTCATTAAATTCTGACCAGATGCTAATAACTTACTTTAATATGTTTAGGATTCCTCGGGAATACTCTGTGTAGGCAGTTCTAATTGATCAAAATATTTCCTTGAATCCAGCATATCCTAATACGAGCCTGCTGGAACTCTTCTATTCCCCCTTATCTTCAATTAATAGACAACTTTCAGACTAGTGAATATTGTATAAGGTGCTTGAGAAAATGACATTGCTAGACCTACCTGTTCACTTCTCCAAACATCAGGCAACTTTCACAAAAAACACTCTTTGCACATCTGAAGCAGCAAGAGACAAGCAGAAGGGCACAGAGAGAAGCTGATGGGGAAAAATGTCAAGAAAAATCCTGTCAGTTTATGATCCAAGAACATATAAAGAAAACATAAAAATATTTAAGGGAACAGAAGAGTTCTTACCCTCTCTATCCATTGATGTGAAAAAACTGGTGAGCATTCCTGGCGCAATGAATGGGTGAATTCCAATCCTGGGAACATCCAGAGAGGTTCTTGCAAGAAACAACGGGGTTTTCTTTTCTGTGACAATGCTGGTTATGCCAAACAGAAAACTGTGCTAAGCAAAGACACTGCTAAGGCAGCTGAGGTTGAAACAGAGATGGAAAAAATCCACAAATGTGCAAAACCATGAAATTTTTTCCTAAAGATTACTTGGAAATAAGACTGAGTGAAGAGTGTGCCACCTAATTAACTGTTGGGCAGCAGGATAATATTAATGGAGACAACTCACAGCAGGTTTGTGTGAACATGAGAATAATTATGGCAATAATTAATGAGGCTTTTATCAATTACACATACAGAGATGTGACCATCGTGAAACCATAAGAAACCTTATCAGCGGTTTCTTCTCACAGAAAAAAACCCTGCAATAAACCCTGCAGAGTCTTTGTCTCTCAGAGTCCTTCTTGAAAGCCTGAGGATCACCCAGGCTCCTCAAACAGATGCAGTACATCTGAGCAGCTGGAGGATTTCACTGCAGCTTTGGTTTGTTTTGCAATAACTTCTCCAGAAATAATGCTGCTTCCATGATGGCCAGGATTTTGGGATGAACATTTACCTGGACTGTACTCCTGCTCCTGGCTCATCCCTCCCCCGGCTGCCCACACCTGGCAATTCCCATTCTTCCATGGCTTCAAAGGACACCTGTCATGGACTCTTCATCCCTCACCTCTTTCTGCTCACCTTTCTCTAGATGTTGTATGCAGAACTTTGCCTGTATTTATGTCTGTGAGGCTGAGGCTGGTTATCTTTTTAAAAACTGTGAAAGAAATTTTTAAATTACTTGCTCGGTGATCTTGGGCAGGCCCAGATAAAGTAGTTGGTGTAGGATGTAGACATTCAATATTCAGGAGTCTATAGTTATGTCCAGCTCCCAGGGCACACATGTGACAGCCAGTGCAATAAAGCCCACCTCTGAAACAGAGCTAGTATCTAAAAGAACCTCAGACTATGTTATTTTCGGTAGCCAGTTTTTCCTTTCATGGTAAAAGACAGTGAATTTAGATTTCTAAACACATGATTAAGAAAATGTGCTCCATCTTCTGGAGAGTAGGGTGGGGAAATGGTTGAAAACTAATACAGTAGAATTTCAGACAACTCTTTAGACTCTAATCCTCTGCCCAACCTTATACACACTGTCTGAGTAGTTCCTGCCATTTCACACCAAAAACAGTTTAAAGACTTTTTTTCCCTTCAATGTTACTAAGAAAAGCAGCTATGAAATGCAGCCAGGAACAAAGTGTGAAATATTTTGTACCAGGTAGGTTCTGCTGCCATATTAAAATTAATAGTACTAACTCTGGTGACTTTAATAAAACCTGAATTTCCAGATTGAATTCCATCAGTTCCTATGAAATGCACAATATATCAGGAAATAAAAGGCTACAGGAAATACCGTACACACAGGACTGCCAGAATTGAAAAAGGCTTTAAAAAGGGAAAAAAGTTTTAAAGAGTAAAGAGTGTACATTTTAAAAACTCAATAAATAGGTTTTCAACAGCCCTCCTGACTGTTAGGCATGCAGTATGCTTTGTGTAGTATAAGCTTTTAAGAAAATATAATAGCTGCAGCTTTGAGCCATTGCTAACACAGCATCCCTACTTTTTAGACAGGGAACTATTATTTTTTTCTCCTGCTACTCAGCTGCAGAAATAATGATGGAATTCTTATACTCTGGTGCTTGTTTCAGACATTACTTTTATTCAGCAAGGTGAAACAAGATAGGATGCCTTATTTTGGGGTAGGCTTTTTTTTTTTTTACAGCTCTAGATTTTGTTCTATTTTGCAGTTTGACAGGTTCTAACCTAAATATGCAGCAAATAATTTCTTAAGGGGTCAGTGCAAGTGAGTTAAAGATCCTCAGCTTCTTCCCTTCAGTCATTTGGAGCTCATAGGCAAGAGATGTTTAAGAAATTGGGAAATAGATATGTGACTTTATGCAGTTTTTATGACATCAAGTCCCTAACGCAATGAGTGAACAGAATGAAAAATGCATGACTTTCCTTTCCCTGCAAATGTAGCACTTTTCCACAGTTATAATGAATGTTATTTGAAGGTATGCTGTGCTTTTATCAGTAGCACTACAAGACTTCTCAGCATGCATTTGAAAATAGTTGCATGTAAGACTTTTCATCATAAACATTATTTTCAGGAATATTTGACAGCTGGTTCTTGTATGAAGTGATTTTTCTAAACTTTAAGTCACTCTGCTAATCATAAAGTATTTGTTTTTCTCTCATTTCCAAAATCTGTTTATAAAGGCAACATTATAGAATGGGAAGTTTATATGCAGTGCATTAGCTACCATGCAACAACATGACCATGAAATGTGCTGTGCTCCTCCCAGTCAGGAGCTGAGGATTGTGTGCTCCCAAGTGGGGTTGTGTGCTCCCAGGTGGCACCTTTTACATCCTCTACTCTCTAAAACACTGATGTAGTGATTTGCTTGATCCAGAAAAACACGAATGGGTGTTAATCTAGAAAAACACGAATGGATGTTAATCTAGAATTTTCTTTTTTATTTTGCCCTGACATGTTTTTTTGCTCTGCCTTTTTGAAATTTTACCATAATACTCTGTACCAAGTGTTCTTTATCCTTAGGCATCTGTTGGGTTTTACAGACTGTATGAGGAATGGACATTCCCCACTCCCACACCTCTGCCAGGCAGGCCCGTTGTGAAGGACTGTGAAGGATGTTGTCACCATGCAATCCCTGTCCAGCTCTCCAATCAGCTCTGCCTGGCCTCTTTGCCTTCCAGGATGTGGGCAGGCAGCAGGGATGAAGGTCCCTTCCTGCTGGCTTTGGGCATGCTGGATAAGGAAGAGCATCTTGAAAGGAGGAGAAGGGTTCCCTCTTCTCACTTCAAGAGACTTCGGAGAACAGGAGGGACACGAAAGGCCAAGGCCTTGGCAAGGAGGGAGCTGGTTGAGCTGGGACAGAGCAGAACCTCCTATGGGAACAGGGAACTTTCCTGCAGCAGGGAGCAAACTTACAGGCTTTGAGAGTGACGTTCTTAGACATCCAGAAACACCAAGAGTGTTGAGTGTTGTGCAAGTTAATGCATGTTGTTGGAATTTTGCCCTGAATTTGCCTTTTGTTTGTTTTCCTCTGCAGATTTTTTATTATTGCTTAGAGACTATGTGGGGACATCAAAGAATCCTGCTGACTCCCATGATGTGCTTACCTGCCCTCTGCTTTCCTTTTGAGAGAGTCAGTCAAAAATCTGAGACAAAGCACATATGAATATTCATCCAAGAACTAATTCCTCCCTTGTGCCTGTAGTGACCTCTTGCACCTTACACAGGAAGCACAGGCTTTGAAGTGTAAATAAAATTTAAGTTTACTGACCTAACACTGAGATGGTAAGGCCAGGCCAGGGAGTGGGATTGGAGGGGGAGTGGACAAGAGCTGGGACAGATGGAGGGCAGCTCCTCCTAATCATGGCTATTCCTGCTTTGCCAGTGGAGGCTCCTGCCCTGCACAATTCAGCTGCCTGCACACAGTGGCTGTTATGGCTTTGTAGCAGCTGGTGGAGGTGATGGAAGCAGTAACCTTACAGATATTTTGCTGTTCTGGGGGAAAGCCTAAATTGCCTGTGCCCTAAAGCTGACCCCACTATCTTTGTCTGAACTTTCTTTAGTTTGCATGGTCAGCTATGGGAAATGTGTCTATCATGTATTTTTCATTTGAAAGGCTGCATTATCCAGACATATATATACATATTTTTATGTATATATATACTTTTTTCTTTTATTTTCTATTTTTCCTTATGTAGACGGGTGCTTTCATGACTACTGCATAGATAAAATGGAATAAACAGAGAAAACAGAAATTTAAAAAAAAAAAATTCACATTAATCAGACCTGTAGATATGGAAGCTTTTCTGAGCCATGGTACTCTTTGTTGAAATAAATTATGTCATGTTACTCTTGCAGCTATCATCCACAACTGGCAGTAGAGCCCAAAGTAATTTACTTTTCATGTTCTAAGTACCAATTCTTTTAATGTTAATCTAGAACTTCCTTTTTTTTCCCCCTGACATGTTTTTTTTGCTCTGCCTGTTTGAAATTTTACCATAATACTCTGTACTAAGCGTTCCTTATCCTTTGGCATCTGTTGGGTTTTACAACCTTGAACTAAGGTGCATTAGGATTTTGCCGAAGAGACTATCAGAAATGTACATTTTTTCCCCTTTGGTTGTGAAGGAGAATTTCCTGTCCCAGTGGAAAGGAATGCTTACTGCTCTGGCACGTGACTGCATGTGTCACAACAGCTCTCCTACTCTGTCTTACACAAAAATGTCTTACCTTGTCCAGACAGGCTGTCTTGGTCGACTTCCCTGGGAGGAGGCTGTGCTGTGTCGGTCAGTCCCTGTGTCTCCGCAGCATCCCTGCCCGGCTCGGTGGCAGGCAGGGGATGGGCAGTGGTGACGCTTCCCGAGGTGCCTGGCTCCTCTGGAGGCTCAGAGCCACCCGTGAGCGAGTCCTGGCCAGCAGAGTCATCTGCCGGGGGAGGCAAAAAGGAATCCTCTGCTTTTGGAGGGCTGCTGGTGCTACCCAGAGCACTGAAAGGCACTGTGGAACTTGGGCGGTCGGTAGCAATAACTTGGGTGTATGGGTATCTGTCCTGGAATGGTTCTCTGGACGGTTTGGTAGGAAAATCAGGTTCAGATGTAATAAAATTATTGAATTCCTCAGGGATGCTGATTTCTTCACTTAGAACAGGGCTTTCCGTTGTAAATTCATCAACAAATACATCTCCTCTTTGATCCACTGTTGCTGGACTGGGATAACCTAGTGGGAGTTCCTCCTAAAAAAGTTTTTAAAAAGCATCTTTCATTATTATGTTGAGCTTCATTGCTAAAAAGGCAATGAAATAATAATCTTTAGTCACATGAGCTAGCAAATAGCTAAGTCAACATGGAATCATATTATGGGTTGTGTTGGAAGGGGCCTTAGAGCTCATCTAGTCACAATCCCCTCTGCCATGGTGACATCTTCCACTAGGCCACGTTGCTCAATGGCACATCCAACCTGGAACACAGCCAGGAATGGGGCATCCTCAACCTCCCCAGGCACCCTGTACCAGTGTCTCATCCTCCTCACAGTAAAGAACATCTACTGCATATCTAACTTAAATTTCCCATCTTTCAGTTCATTTTCCTTGTCCTGTTCCTACAGATCCTGACAGGATCTGTCCGACAGATCCGTCTCCATATTCTCTGCAGGCCCCTTCAGATACAGGAAGGCTGCTATGAAGTCGTAGGGTGTGTGAAATGTTTGGCATGTACATATGATCCTAATCACAGTTCCTGTAATTTTAAAAGTGGTGGAAGAAAGGTGATTTTACCTAGCCCTGTAAACTGCTCTCTTTCTGTCATTAAGATGTACTACTGAACTGATGAGACACTGTTTACGTTGTAATTAAATCTGGAAAAGGTAATCAGGCAGTAATATTCACCTGTAAGTGCTCTAAACAGTATCCCTGTTGCAGTAAAACAACACAACATTCATCCTTACAGAATGTACAAAAGGCACATATGTTATTCCAACATAAGAAACTTTTTGTGTGTTTATCTACCTTTTAAACACTAATTAATTTCTTTTACCATGGAGAAGTAAATAAACATGAAAAATTTTATTAACCTACCAAATCAGGGCCTGCCAGAGGAATAGTGACCACACCTTGGATATCATTGTCTAATTCACTAGGTGGTATGATAGTTTCTGCAAAGAAAATCAAAAACATTAGAAAGAGAGAGAGAGAGAGAGAGAGACTGCTCAGAATACTTCAGCACCAGCACATTGAAAACTGATCAAAACATACAAACTCAATTTAAAAAAGTACTAAAATGCTCTCCATCAAAAAATTGCTTTGAAAAATCCATCTAAAGACAAAAAACATCAGTTCCCATTCAAAAAGGAAATTATAAAGAAAACCAAATTTTTTATACACATTTTTTTGTTTGCTTTATTTAGCATAAATGGGATAGGTCTGCAGAGAGCTGAACCATGGAGGAATGCTTAAAATGATCTGAAGTGTGAACCCCTCAGTTCAATCTGCATGGACTACAATGACTCATTCTATTGTGCTCATTAAGCCTCAAGCCATTCCAGTTTTACCCTGAATCCACACTGTTGCAATGTCGGTGTTTTGGCTTTCGTGCTCAAGTTTCTCCTTTCACCTCTCAGAGAAGATCTTAAAAGTACCTCCATGCAAATTGTTTGTTTGGTTATTAGAATTAACTACTGGGAGAAAGTTGATTAAAATATTTATTATTGAAGTGTTCTGTATAATTTTTTTCTTGGGACTTTTCCTCTACAAAAAAATATGACACTTTATTCTTACAGAAAGAATTAGTTCAACTGAATAACTTTTTTTTTGGGTAGGAAAATGCTGCTGTTTGCAAATGAAACACTGTAGCTAAAATTCAATCTGGGTTTTGAGGTTGTTGCAGTAAATATTCATATGAAAAATTATTTCAGATTATTTTTCCCCCTTTTTAACACATCTCTCAAAAAGTAGTTTGCTAGCTTTGCAAAAATGGTTGATGAATTAGAAAGGGATATTTATTAGCTGGATTACTGAATAACAGACCTTCAGCTTCTGCTGGAGGTTTTCACACCCAGCTTGTCTTCTACACTCCCTCTGTGTTTCAGTGTGTGAGTGAAACACATCTTTACTGATTTTATCTTGGGATCAAATGCTGTTTAAGGTGCCAATGTCTCTGATGCTGCTGAGAGGTTAGATGGCTTGCTTACAATAAAGATAGAGCTTTCAGAAAGCTAATCTTATGTTAGAGGCAGATCTAACTTTTTTCTTGTTAAAGAAAGAAGAGTGTCCATACTGGAAGTTAAAATGATACAGTGAATACTCATGATATTTATTTCATTTTTCTCCTCTTCATGATCTTAGCGGGCAAAAAACCAAAAAAACCAAGAAAAAAACCTTATAATATGGTTGCAAGTTAGGCTGTAAAAAGACACATTTTGCTATAAAATTTAACTTATTTCAACACCAAGGAGAATGGACTATGCCAGATGAAAATCATCTGTTAGAGAAGCAAAGGACACCTTACTGAAATGGCATCAGTTTGGGAAGGCAAGAGGCAGGCTTGTTCCTGGCACCTGCTTTACTGACCATCAGTAAACTGAAGTGTTCCAAGGTCCACTGGCAGGGACTGGTCTTCATGGAGTGCAGTGGCAACCAGCTGCTGAAGGTCTGTTACTGTCAGTTTGGTTGCTGATATTTCCCTCTCTTCAACTGGAGAAATTGGAATTTTTTCACTTTCGACCTTATTAGATCCAATAGTGGAGATGTCATCTGCTGTGCCTTTGGTTTCTGAGCCATCTCTCTCAAAGTTCACCACGTATCTTGCTACTGTGCTGCTGGATCTGCAAGGGGGAAAGGTGAGAATGCCCAGAGCAGCAAAATCAGTCACTGGCTGAGAAATTATTTTCCACACCAACAAATCTGCAGCCATAACATATTCTGTTACAGTAATGCAAATTTCATTCTTTCTAATGAGACTGTCACCTTCAAATTACTTTTTCTTCACCGAACTCCTTTTTTTTCCCATGTATAACTTTTAATAAAAATTCCCACATTGAAGATAATTGCAAAAATCTAACATAATCTGATTTAATCTGACTACTCAGAAATCCGTAGAACTGGTAATATAGTCTGAAGTCCTTGACTACTGATTCAAACAGCTATGAAGGCACACTGGGGTTATTAGAACCCATAATCACACATTAATTATTCAGGAACCTATGAAAAGGGATTAGATAGTTCATAAAACTGCAGATAAGCAAAAATCTTATCACAAGAGACTTTTTTTTTTGCTCTTTTTCAAAGAACAGCCAGCTAATGTGGCAAGCAAATCACTTTTTCACAGTGGGAGCTAGCTGTTCCCAGTGCAAATGGGTGAGTATGGCTTCTCCCTAGACATTCATGTTTAACATAAGTCTCAAATATTCACCATTTTTAATACATCATTTTTATGCATGCTAAATTCACCTAATTAAATGAAAAATAGTGAGTACATTGTAAACATTTCTATTCCACTATGTTACTTTTTTTACAATGTCAAATAACAATAAAGAGAAGAATTTCACTTTTATCTAGTGTGTGCAATATATTTGCATTTATATGACATTGCAAGAATTCAGGAAACACATTAGAAAATTCTTCCTTTTAAAGCATGAGAAAAAGAGAAATTCTGGGAAACTACTAGACAAATTATTCCCCATAGCACTTTTTAGCAGCAACAACAATAGACTCTGTAGCTGTTTGTATTACCAGTGAAAAACTTCCAGCATTTTATCAAGCTAGTAACTGGTCTCTTTGCTATTCTATCTGCCTTGATAATAGAGATAACAAATCAAATTCTACATAGTTATTGAAAATATTGTGTACATGGGAATACAGCTAGGAAACAGCAGATCAAAAACGAAAATTTGAATATAAAGTTTTCCTACTTATTTTTCTCTTTCAGTATACAGCTGGTATAAATCTTTAGTCATAAAAATGTGAATTTTCTTAGGTCAAAGATTTTCTTTCCTTCAGAGACATCCTGACAAAATTTGATTACATGAAACATTCAGATTAAAGTTAAAGATGTCCCTGACACTTTACAGTACAGATTTTGTACTTAGAACATAACCAACTGACTTTGTCACATCAAGATAAAGACATTTAAAGATTTATCTATGTACATAATAAAGTTATTAAAATCATAATTATTATAATTAGTTTATAAAACAATTATGAATGACAGAAAGATTACCCATCTTTCTCCTTCTTCTGTCTTCATTTCATCGCAGAATTAAGAAGGTGAGAAAGGATTGCAAAAGAAAGAAAAATAAAGATTCATGTTTACTGGTAAATCATTGTCACACATATCACAGCCATCTTTTGAAAATTTATCTTATCTTCTACATGTCATCTACAATTTTTAGCTCTGTGTGAAATTGACAGTCTACTCTCCATTAGTTCATTTTTTCCCTTCCAAACAAACTGTGGTTTGTGTGGGGAAACAGGAATTTTACTTTACCATGACAGTCTGAAATATCAGCTTTCCTATTTCCATCATGAAATGGTGCATTTTGAGCCCTGTCACTGCTAAAATTTGTGGTGGCAATGGGCACTCGTGGCAGTACTTTCCATGATCACAGTTACCACCCGTGATGTCTACTCAGACTGTAGTCCAGGGGTAACTTGAACCATTAATTACCTCTGGAAGACATGCCTATGTTGCCCTTCTACACATAATGCTCAGTTATTTTCTCTGGTGAATTCTCCAGAATGCCTATGATGTTGTCTTCTTTCATTGCTTTGTGGGAAATGCTGCTAGAATGTGTAGTACTATGGCAATAGTACTACATGGAGAGAATGGACAGCAACATCCATCTTTGCTGATCTGTAACTCCTAAAGCTAACTAAATTACTGGATATTAGGAATCAATCCAATTTTTCCACCCTGACGAATGTTCTTTCATACTAGCTAAATCCAAGATATGGCAGCAAAATGGATCCCAGACCTCCTGGAGTCACAACTAAATGAGGTTAGATATTGCAAGTTGTAACTATGAGATGCTACTATAGATTTTCTCTGCTTGTACTGCAGTAGGCAGATTTTTGTTTTATTAATTTCAATATAAAAATACAAGGAACTAATTTTCAGACTATTTTGCTCTTCTGTCTCCTTCTCCCAGGCAATTTCTGCAGAGAGAAATGCTAGGAAGAGGGATGCTCTTGCCTAAAATTGCATTGCAATATGAGTGTTCTTTAACATGTATTAAATATTGCTAGAAGTACTGAGTGTTCCTGATGTTGTGCCGTAAGACCACATAAATTTGTCTTTTCCCCCCTCTCTTTCTTTCCTTTCTGCAGTTTCTTACTACTATTATTTGTTTTTCATTTGATTCTTTATGCAATATCCTCCCCCTCCCCTATAGATTCTCTCTTCTCTGAAAGAGTAAATGAGGTTGTGTTAGTAGTAAACACACAATGGAGCTAAAACTAAAAGAAATTGCAAGACAGAACACAAATTTGCTGAAAAAGGGAAACTTTTTTAATTGTCTGGAAGGCCTGAGAAAGAACTACTGAGAAAGTTTTAGATGTGTGAACACATACCTTCCTGTAACCCTCTCTTGCCAAGGCACCTTCGCTGCAAAGTATGAAGGGCAACAAAAAAGTTGTCACCTAACTAATCAGGCTACTAACTTTCTTTATCTTGTCATTTCAAAAAGTCCTTAATACAGGGTTGTTAACAAACAATTCAAAGAATTTATCGTGTCCTTCAAGCTTCAGGGGAATCAAAGCTACTTTTGCTATTTCAAAACCTCATAATCTCACTTGGGATGTGTCTCTACTTCCTGTCATATTGCCCCTATGATATTCCCATAAAATTGCTTTCTGTTTACAGATGTACACAGCCCACTATTCTACAGGTCTCTTCCTTTTTGAGGACAAGAAGGAACAGGAGAACCCTCAGAGCCAACAAAAAGGAGAGTCCCATTTTCTTACTTACTTGAATCCTAACACGCGGATTTCCTTGAATCCTGGAAGTTTCTCAAATATTTTTTTCATCTATAGAAAACCATAAAAAAAATCAGCATTAAGATCTATGACTAAAAGGCAATCACAAGATGACTATATAGACAATATTTTTCATATTTCAGAAAGAGCTTTAGGAAAGTCTCAATTGTTCTCTTTTGGGTATCATAATTGCTGAGTTTAAACACAATATTTGCTTTGCATATACTTGTTGTATTACCTGTTAATATTGTTTTTCTTCGTAATGTAACTATGCAAACAAGGGATGATCTATATCATAACACAGCAAGTAAAACAACATGAATCAAATGGTTTTCTTATTTTCAATAGTTTTGGTTCATGAATAATTTTGTGATTCAAGTCACCTGTAAATTGTTCATTATTTAGAAATATTAAGCAACTATAGATGAGTTTAGATTATCTGAAAAATAATTTAGAAATTAAACAGTTTTAACTGTCTTGTACCAATAGAATAAAAATACATTTTTAATTCTAATGTTAACAATAGCACAATTACATGGTTTTGAATAGAAGAGGCATTACATGTGTACTATACAATGTCTGCAGGCACTTCTGTCTGCGGGTAATACTGAAAATCTTCAGAGAAACCATTTTTTGCCAGCTCTGCCAATGCATCCTTTACCATTTTTCTACACATATCTGGAACTGAACCAGGAAAGTGAAATAGCTTCCACTAAGGAATGCTCATGAAACTGATGAGAGGCTTTAGTTAATTTTACTAAGAAAACCTTTTGGGAACCTCAAGTCATTAATTGCTATCAGTTAAACTGATATCTGAACATTCAGTTAATATTATTAACTGTATGAAAATATGACAGATGTTCCAATTCTTACATAAACCCTGGTAATGCACAATGAGTGTATGTCCTTTGAAGAATAGTTCAGACAACAGCAGCTAATTACTTTTAACATTTATATTACATTTCTCATTAGGTTTATTGTAGAAATTAAATTATGACAAAGTGCTGCCCATGAATTCCTGATTAAGTCTGAACAAAATTCCTAAAGTTATTCTGTTCATCCATTATCTGAGGCTTCTACTGATGTCAAAGATGTTGGCTTGTTAGCTTGCTGGCTGAATAGATGGCTTAAATCTGGGTATAAGCTGATACTACACATGAAGGTCTTGAGAAAAGAGGAATGACCTGTTTAAAGTGAGGGCAGTACATACTAATCCTATTTCATGGTGAAGATAATTTCATAGTATGAACCTCAGCCAAGGTACAAAGTCAACAATTTTTTGCATTCATTAAGCATCCCTACCTGTAGCTGAAATTTGGCAGCTAGTTGTTGGTACTCTGGGGAGTTGGGGTCACTAAGTTCAGCTGTGTACTCCTGATCAGTGAGAGTCACACTGAATTCCACCATTTGCTCCACAGGCAATTCAGGGACTGCATTTGTTCCCAGGTCCTGGAAAAGAAAAGGCAAGGGCAAAAAGGGAAGAAATAAAACTAAGAGATTGTTTTCCCCTCCACAATTCAGTATTTAATAGGTAGAAATGTTCTCATTTAAACTCATCCCCAAAATAACTTTCTGAACTACATTCCACAAAAGGTGAAAGTTCCTAGTAGATCTGTTGGCTCAGTTCTTCTGTCTTTGCAAACAAGTTTCTATTACTTGAGAGGTAACTTCAGAGTTGCCTTTGATATGCATAAATGAAGATGAAGAGAATCAAGCCTTTCTTGCACAGAGACTGCTACCAAGTCTTAGTTCCATCATCATGAAGTCACACAGCTGTTTCATGTTCAGAGGTTTGCATTTGTTTGTTGACGAAAATAAAATGGAATTATCCCTACCCATGATACACCTTTCTTATGCAGTTGCCTTTGCTGCTATTAAAAGTTGTTGTATTTTGTATGCTGTTTACCAAATTTACAATATTTGCAGCTTTTCCCTTCACTGTGAGGCCACACATCTGTGCTGAGACCACAGCAGCCAGGACAGGGAAAACAACAGCCCTTCCCAGCACCCTCCCCTCTCTCAGAGGGGTCTCTCCCAGCAGGTGCTGTCAGCGCGCAGAGGGGCAGTCCCAGTGCCTGCTGCACGGCTGCTCTGAGCACACAGCACTGGAGAAGCCTCTGACAGCTGGCTGGGCAGGAAAAGGCAAGGAAGGCCCAGTCCTGTCTCCTGTGTCATGGCAAGCCCAGCAGGTATTCTTTTTTGGCATTATTTAATGAAGGGCAATGTTACAAAATGGTGCAAAATAGGCAAGAGGCCCCTCCTTGAAAGAATGAAAACTGCCCAAAAGCTGGTTGCCATGCTTTTGTATTTTCTACTATATACCCAAAAACCATCATGCCCTACTCCAGTATATAACAGATGTTAATAAACCCCTTCAGTCCTGCTAGCTGAAACAGAGGGGAGCACTTGTTTTGAAGCAGTGTTTATAAGGTTTCTTCCTCTTTCCTGTTAGCTGAGCTCAAAAGCAAAAGGTGAGTGAAAAAGTGGGTGGGAACACAGGCTGCCCTCACCTTCACAGGAGTCTTTGTGTCATTGAAAATTTCGTTGAGCAATGTGCCATTAGGGGCGTATGGAGAGAGGGGTGTGCCAGGAGAGCCTGCAGGGGGAGAAAAAGAAAAGTCAGGAAAGAACAGTTTTCACATCAAAAGCCTTCCCTTGGTGTGTTGGTCAGGGGTCAGCTCGCTGGAGCGGCTTTCCCTCAGGAGGGAGGGCTTGAACACAAGCCTGTGCCATGACTTTGGGTGTGGGTAAAGCTGCTGCATTCTGAACAACAGACAACCTTTCTTCCAGGTCAAACATTAGTGGTGTGGCATGTGTGTGACTGAAAGCAAAATTAGCAGTGACTATGATCAATGAAATTGTGTGAGTCAATAGTATTTGGTCATTTCCAGTCATGCCACATCATATATCACCAAGTGTCTAGGCTTAATTTTGCCAGTTGAGATCTTTGTCCCTATGACAGCCACTTTTCTTTAGGGCTCAATTTATGGTAGCAAGAGATGTTGACAGAGTTTTTCACCTAGAGGCCAAATTACCATGCTGGAAGTCCTTCCCAATAAGATTCTGTTATATTTCATAAGAATATATGTTCAGGATGGTTTCTCCATGAACCAAAATTATCATATTTACAGATTTTTATCACTGTGTGAATTAACAGTATTTTATTAACATCCTAATATTATTTTAAAGAACTGAAGTACACAACAGGTCTAATTGTAATAGTCTGATCAATTTATTGTCTTGGCACCATTCTGACATTCTTGCTTGTCAGTCTTAATTTGCCTTGCTTGCTTGTTTTGTTTTTGTTAACAAAATGCAGCAGTTGACATTCTAAATGGTATTTTTTAACTGAAGAACAATTAACCCAATATTATCTAAGTTTGAAACTAGGTGAACACATACATTTGAAGACAAAATTTGAATGCAACATTTGAGTAGCAAATATGTTGTAAAGAGATAAAAAATTATTCTTAAAGATTATTTTGCTTACACATTTTCACTCCACTGACTGTTGTAGAAGCATTCTACAACATTCATTAAGTTATGGCCTTCTAAGAATAATTTGCCTTAGCAATTTTATTTAACAGGCAGACACAGAACAAACAGATTTGATTTTACCTGTAGAAATGGAGGGAATGTCTTCCACCTTTTTGCCTCCTGTTTTCTCTGCTGATATTTCATCTTTCCTATCAATCAAATACAAATGAGTGATTTAATTATCTGCATATTGTACTGGCAATGACAAAAGGGTAAAAAAACAAAAACATAGGGAAATGATCCCTATATTAAGCATAGTTTAAATGAGAGAAGTTATCTTTAATAGAACATTTTGTGACCTGATTAAACAGGCAGTGGAACAGCATAAGGACTACCAATCCTGTCATGAATCTGCTCATGAGGTTTTGTTTCAGATTTTATCACTGCCATCAGAGAGATGGAATCACAGTGATTAAATCAGTGCACCGGGTCTGGTTTTTTTTACTCTTGGAACTCATTGAAGGATTAACCACTATCTAAAATGGAAGATGTACATCACCTAAATCAGCTTTTGTCTTCTTTGCTATTTCTCATCCTATCAAGGTAGTTCAGTGAAGGCTTTGTGATTCTTCTCATTTTAGAGCCAATGGATATTTCAGGTTCCATGTATGTTTCATATGGTGTGGTGTGAGAAAATAGTGGGTGGGCTTATTTTTCAGTTGTCAGCCTGCATTATAATACCATAAGGATGCTTCTAAATAATTATTGTATCAGAATGCAGATTATTTTGAGGTGTAGGAATGTTAGTGTTTGCTTCTGGATGTAATATTCGTAGGTTAATGCCTACCATGGTCCCCAATGAGGACAGTTAAAAACTCAAGTAAGAATGTGGTGAGTATGATGTATCACAGGATTTGTATGGTTTTGTTGATAATTATTTTCTGATTTAAGTTTTACAGCCACATGGTGAATACATTTTTAATTGCTACTGTTAGCTTGCTTGGAAAACAGCAATAGTATCTATCTCTAAGTACATTTTAAAATAAATAGATGTATCAAAGATTCTTTTACTTGGACTAGAAATTATTCTATAGCCTTAAAACCAAATTGTTATTAATTTGTAGCTTTGGGGAAAATTAAGGTTCTTAGATAAGCATCTTCCAAGGGATATTTTGAGATTTTTCTCTCCTGAAATTCCGGAGTAAAGTATAATTCCCCAAATTTTCTACAGTGCATACAGATGGAGTACTTGTGAAAACTGAAAGAAATATGAAATCAGAAATATGAATGAAAGAAATAGGGGAACTGCAAACGTGCAGTGTGGCGCTAACTGAGATATAAAGCATAAAGTTGTAGCAGAGACAGAAAAGGTGTCCTGAGCTACAGGAGCAACATAGGTGTTTAATAACATAAATAAAGAACATGAATGAATGACAACTGGTTTACCACATCTGGATATCTTGTGTGGTGAGAACTAAAGTATAATTTGTAATGTTTTCACAATATTAACTAGTCATGTGTTGTATCTATACATGAAGACTGATTTATCACCATGACATCTACAGAAGATACAAAATATTTTCTAGCCTACAAAGTAGTAAAGATGAAGTCCAACCATGCATAATCATTGCTGTCTGTATTTTCAACTAAAATGCAAGAAATTTCATGGAATTAAATTCACCTTCAGTATTGTGTCTGGGGAAAACAGTACTGTTCACAAAGAACCTAAGAACTCTGAGATCAGTCACTTCTCTTAATGCCTTGCTGCTGCTGCTTGCACTAGGATGAAGGAAAAGGCCTCCCTTTGGATTCCAGGAGAGTTCAATTAGGCCCTACATTATTAGAAATATGTCAGATCTCCCGTGTCAGAATGAATTAAGATATATAAGACCTCTGTGATCAGGAGACAGTGTAACCTATGAATGGAAAATATTATTTGCCTGAAAATCTCTTGAAAATCAAAGAAAACTTGAAGGGAAAAGAAACATCAGTCAGAAGTTGTGGACAATGATTTGTCTGGCTGTGCTGTAGTATTTATATACACAGAACCAGAGTTCAGTATGGCAGCTTTAATCCTCCCACTCTCCAACTTCTGAGCATTGCCAGGAGCATACTTTTTCCAAAGAGTTTACAGAATAAAGTATCACATCAATTAACACTGTCATGATGTATAAAAATACAGGAGAAACCTCAAGTGAAGGCAGAGAGTTTTCATGCTATTGTTTAAAGTAGCCTCTCAGTTAAACTTCTCTTAAGCTGACTTTCCTTTTGAGAATTACAGCAAGTTTTGTCACACTCCCAGGCAACACTAGCCTAATGCCAAGCTATGTCTCTGTCAGGGTTTCATGCCCACATTAGTCTGAGAAAACATTCAGGGGTGTTTTGAAATGAACAGGTAACTCAGCCATTTGGCCATATCCATTATTGTGATTCAATTGCAGTGTCCTGTGATATATCCAGTAGACACATCTCTCACAGCACACACCAAATACACCACAGTGCTATCTGAATATCTGCTCACATCCACACACATCTACACATATTTTTACAAGGGAGGCAGTAACATCAAGTGGCAAGGTTCTACTTGTGCTACTTACCTTTCCTGGAAGGTTCTATGTTTTACTCGCTGCAAAAAGATTAAGAAAAACAGCATTTTACTAGTGGGTGTATCCAACCATTGAGCCTGTTAGCTCTTTTGTTTACTACACTTTCATGTTTTCCTTCTAAGACATGCCCCCTCTTTTTCCTGAGCAATACTTTGCCCTTAAATAAGCAGGTGGGAACGGACTTGGAAGTCTCTCCCAGTTTCTAAGCAGATGTCAGTAATCCTTACCCGCTGAATTATTTCCAGGTGCTCTTGGGAATTGCTGAAGTTTTTCCCAATGTCGAATATGCAGAAGGTTTCTCTCTGGCAGGCACTAACCCAGTTCTGATATTCAGAAGTATCAGGAATCCGATCCAGAAAAATACGAAAGGCTTCCCACACAGCTTCCTGGCAGACTGAGTAAAAAGAAAGGGGCTGGGGATAGATCCTTTGTACCAAATGGTAAACTTGAAAGCCTTTTAACAGTGATTTGGCATTTACACATTTTCGCTCAAGATGAAGGAACGCACTGCTTCAAAATGTTGTTTAAAAATTCTTTTAGAGAAGGGGATTTTCAAACTTATCAGAAAAAACCATTTTAACCAAAACTTGCTGGTAATTTAAAAGCCATTGCCTTTAGCACTTTACTTTGCAAAGCTCATTACTGTGAGATGGGACATTTATTTTCAGTACTTGATACCTACTTTGCCTTAGAGTGAGTTCATTATCTGCATTATCTAAAATATGGGTGTCTCTGAAATCAGTGCAGTAAGTTTACTCTAAACTTGCTGTAGGGATGTACTCACCTAGCTGTGTTAGGGCCCCTCAATAATACCTCGGGAACGACCTGCCCTCCCAGTAGAGCAGCTGCATGTGGAGTAGATGTGGTCAGGTTATTAAAAAGGAACAGGCTATCTTTTGAAGAGATTTATTTATTATGAGCTAGCAATTAAGGTTACTTTCTATCTCCTTTTTCTTGCAGCTCTCTGGCATTTGTTTTTCTGAGCAGTTAGTGCTGAATAAAGATATACCATCTGATGATAAGTAATCCAGTTACCAGATAAATGTGACACATGACCAGTGGAGGAGGCATTGTAGTGTGCTCTCCCAGTTTGCCCCACATAAGAGACTGTCCTCATGGTGACCTAAGCTATGATGTGTATCTTCAGAGTTGGTGTAAGGTCACAGGAGGCTGAAGAATCCCACAGCAACTGTCTGAGCTCCTACATCTGAGCTGTTTTGTGTTGTGTGCTCATCCCTGGAAGCACAGAATACACATATATGGAAAAAAGAATAAAATTGTCTAAATTTTCTTGCAGAAAAATTCTCTAGATGACTGATAGGATCCACAGTGCTTTTTCAGTTACAAATGTGTCATGGAACTTGAAGGGAGGGAGGTCATCTCCTAGGCTTTAGACAGAGAAAAGAACCTGAAAGTATATATCCGAAACACATGAAGGTCAGATTATCCCACAGATGGGTACAGGCTCTCAGGCTCCAGCATGGCTACCAGATTGCCTTCACATGAAGGACTGTACTGTGGTTACAGGTTCAAGGATGAATCTTTTATCACCACATTTTCAAGTGTAGCTCTTTTTTTGTTTACATTTATAATTTTTGTCAGATAAATTATCATGCTCAACTGGGAGGGCAGAAGTCTTTCCCAGAAATTCTGGTCTTTCCTTGAAGGAAATTTTTTTTAGGATTTGATGAAAGACATTGTAATGGAAAATATGCAATTGTTCAAGGGAGCAGAAACACCTTTTTATGATTGAGTGTGCAAATTATTCAGCTGCAGAGTGTGTTTTATTGCTTGCTTTTTGGGAAGTCCTCCCATCCAGTTTCAGTTGAAGAACTGGATGACACCTGCTTAGAAAATTTTGTGAGGATACTGTTGAGGAAAAGGAGCATTTAAGTTAAAACCTCTTGCACTACAAGACTTATAGAGTCCAATATCCCAGCTGATATCTCAGCTCTCCAAAAAGCTGTCATATTCAGATTTTTAAATGAAAGGGTCATAGTTATAGTCTTTTGAGTTCAGATTGATGACACCTGTCAGTTTCAGGATAGCTTGTTTTCAGCCCAATCTGAGATGTAACCAGGGAGTTTTAGGGACTTTGAGGCTTTATTTCTATTTAAGAAATGCTTTTTGGATCAGCTTCTATGACACATTCCAGATTTGTGTCTAATGCTCATTGGATGCTACAATGGATATAAAATATTTTTATATGTATAGGAATAGCCACAAACTTTAGTGTAGTTCTTCCATGCTGCCTATAGCAAGTGGCTGCTGAAATAAAATTTTTGAAGCTTAACCTCCAGGTCTCATTTCAGAGGGAACAAGTTGGTTCCCCAAAAGAGATCTGATGAGCAGCCAGGTTACACAGATCAACGTGAATGGATGGTGTCTGATAAAGAGGAAAAAATGGATAAGGAAAGATGATTTAGAGAGTAGATGATGCCTTAGATACTTCTGTCCCAGAAATGCTGACTAGCTTTTAGAATTAGCTTTGGACCATCCAGCTGCACTGCAAATACACACACTTCTCGAATACAAAATAGAACAGCAACAGGAGGGATAGATGAAGAAAGAGAGAAAATTTGACCAAAAATTGGAATGATAACTTGATAGGCTTTCTGTAGGCAAGGGAAGTAAAAAAAAAAAGAGCTGGGAAGTGACTGACTTGGTTGGAAAAGTCTTATTAATAAAATGTCTGAAATATTTCTTCTTCCCTAAGCTTTTTTCATGACTTGCTAGCAATTATCTCAGTGTTCATTGTATACCAACACTGCCATAGACTTAGTATAACTACAGATACACCAACACTATTGTGCAATGACCATTTAATGATTCCAATACTTGTCCTAAGCTGGTGCTATTGATTTTTGCATAGCAATGATGGTACCTGCTCTTTTCAGAAGGGGGATGCTTCTTTCAACACTAATGCAAGCACAATTTGTTCTTCATGTTCAGCCATGCTAGAACACTGTGCAATTACTCTGAGTTCATTAGTCCTTTGAGTGCATTGTTTTATTTTCTTGTGGTAACTGTCTATCTTGAACCCTGCTGATACACATGTAACATTTGATTATCTATGTAAAAATAAAGCATAAAGTCAATAGCACTTACACTGCCTAAAGGTGAAGAACAAGTTTCTGGAAAATTACTGTGTTTCCTCAGTTAAAGGAAAGACTTTGAAGGAGGAAGTACATACTACAATAATCGTCTTACCTCTTAATCTGTAGTAAGCTTGGTGACTGGCTAAAATCTGCTTCACTGATTCTTGTGGGCAAACTTTCACACCAGTTGAGAAAAAGGATGACCTCTTTGTCCGGTGTTTTGCCATGTCAAATATCCGCCTTATGGTTGATATCCTGGACCTCTTTGTTGTTCTTTCTGTTTTGTCTGACCCTGAGGTGACTGCAAGTTGTTTGGCTTCAGCACGGTTAATTTTATCAGGAATTTCTGTAAAAACAAAACAAAAAAGAAAGTACATAAACATACCTTGCCTAGGCAGTAGGTATTCAATGTAGGTTCATGTCTTGAAAATGGACATGAACTTGAGAATTCTTTTTGCTACATTATAGTGGAGTCAATGCACTGATTGAACAATTGTGCTGAGGAGAAGCAGCCTCTGACCACTCGGGGGAACTGCAGCTCAAGTGACTTGGTAAATAATTTCCTTGCATTTCAACACGTGACCCCAGGACACACAGGGTAAAAGTTTCAGAAGCTCTAAATCCTGTTTTCAAAAGTGACTTTGGATTAGATCCACAAAAGACACTTAAGTGCTTGAACTTTGTGCTACAGCATCTCATTTGTGAGCATATCGCCCTGCAGGGAAATTTACAGTACAGTGATAAGTAATGTCTACACTGCAGATAAGTAAAATGAGAAATAGGTGTACCTTAAGTCTTTAAAATCTTATCTTTCCTTTGGGCTTCAAGGAACATCTCCCTTCAAATCAGGTTCATAACCTTGAAGCTATCCCAAGAACTCGACCCTGAAACTTTCAGAAGTTGAACAGAAGTTTTATTACCTTTGGGAAAAGAAAGGCCTGTTTCCAGTCTGTTTTACTCCACAGTGCATTGCTCTATCCTTCCCTCACATAAACTGACGTATTAACCAGATGAGACTGATTGTTTCTTTGCAACTGGATGATAGGTGTTGTGAATTCTCTGGCATCATATTTTAATAAAATTTTAAATGTTCCTGGCCAAGTGGAACAGTTGCAGTAGAAAAAAAGTGAAATCAGTAACTAGGAATTGAAGACCTAGGATTAAATTTTACTTATGAAACTATTCAGTTATGAAAAATGGAAAAGCTTCCAGGCTGTCAAGATAACCTCAAGCGTAGGAACTTCATCACAAAAATTCAGGACTCATCTGGTTCCACTTCTTAAGTATTTGTGCTGCAGTATTACATGAATAGCAGCTACATTTAATATGAAAAAGTCAATGGCAAAAATAGAGTATAAACTACAGATTTAAATGAGGTGAAATACAGCCATTTGCAGGATCATGTGACAGGAGCAGTAAGTATCTTTTAGGTTATCTTCCAAAATTTTGTATCCATGTTAAAGATGTTAATAAATTTTGTATCCATGTTAATAAAGATGTTAAATTTTTAATAATTTGATACAGTAATTACAGATGAAAAATAAAGAAAAATCTAAGCAGAATAGAAGACAATTTGAAAGAATTAGAAAGCTTTAAGCAAGACATGTGTGTCCTGATGAATGAAGTGAAAAAATTACTTTGAAAAAAGGTTTTAAAACTTCTAATGGAGGAATAATGGGAAATAATAGGGTTAAAAAGGAGTAAGTTCAGTAGGAGTAGCACTAGCAAGAAAAATAGGAGTAAAAAATTATCAGTTTGCTGGAGAAAGAAGAAGTGTCATGCTGCATATAACAAATACTAATTACCCTGTTCTTAGGCAAATCAAGAGAAAATAAGGAAGGTTAAAAACACATTATCTTGACACTTTGGAGTAGTGTTAATTAAATGTTTAAAGAAAAGTGGGTAGATAAAGGATGAGAGAAAAATAGTTGAAAAACATACTTTTATAAAAAGAACAGTATATGAAATGAAGAATAGGGAATATTCTACTATGTGTGTCAGTAGATATATATATGTATATCAATATATGTCTCAGTTCTGATTAACTTCCAAAGGAACATCCACTGTTTATTGTGTAGAAATCATAGTAGTAACATGTATATTTTGAGACAGGTGTTACACTGATATGGAAAAAAGTCAACTGTTTGGTTGTGATGAATATTGTCTAAAAGAAAGGAAGTTATAGAACAAAGGTATTAGGTCATTGTTACTACTTTTTAATTCATGCCAGGGACAGTGACCTGCAGACCTAGAACTGCCTAATTGTTGCAAGGTAATTTAAAATGATGATGCAGTCATATAATATTTGATATGAAATGAAATGAAATTGAAGTAATTTTTCCACATTAATGTCAAGTCACAAACCATAAACTGCATAAAAGGAATTTCCCCTGTGGAAACACGTTGGGTTCAACAGAATCCCCAAATGGCCAAACACTGAGTCAGCTGAGACACAGAGTTTTTTAATGTTATATTCAAATAATTGAAATCCTCTAGAAGAGAGAATCAAAAATCCGCATGGAAAGCAGCCAGTTGTAAGTCCATTACCTTTCACAAGGTGTATTAACTGAGCTAGACCAGCTGCCCAGGCAGCCTCACCAACTGGGGCAGAGGATTTTGTCACTAAGCTCTTTGATAGCTTTTGTATGGAGCAGAGGTCTTTCTTGAAGGATTTGCTTCTTCTCCAGGATTTACCTCTAAGTCTTTAACTTGAATTAAGAGTTATACTATTCATAAAACTGACAAAGGAGATTCTTCTCAAATGATTGCTATAATGATTTCAAAGTCTCCGTGTTAGGGTCCGTATTTGGTCTTTTCACTCTGACAAGGGATCAGTTGTTTTCTGCTCTCAGTTTGCACTGTTCTGCTACCCTATTTAGGGTGTTTATAAATTTTTAAATTTATTTTTCTTTTCATTCTTTCCATTCAATTTTTTTTCCTTTCTTTCTTTTTTTTTTTTTTTTTTCAGGACGTGTTTCTAAAGCATATCTATTGTAATAGGTTGAATTTACTTTATATCTTGTACTTAGTAATTTTCTCTTACTAGAATAACTTTTATTATACTAATTCTTTGAAATAACTTTTTTATTTAAACCAAATTTGAATTGGAAAAAGCATCAGCCTTTCTCTTCACATGATTGTCCAGGATGAATTTCCTAATATTTGCTGATTGTGAGTGGATAAAAACTTACCTTCTGGCATAAACATTTCCTCATAATTCTTCAGATCTGTGTTTTCTACTCTGACTGGGGAAATTCTGAACTGAGAAATTTTTACCTAAGCCTCACAGATATTTCATCCATAAACTTGACTAAAACCTGTCTCCATCTATACCTTTTTAGATGCTTTGATTTCACTGTTGTGGGTTGAAAAAAAAATCAAAAAGACACAGGCTATTGCCAATATGAAATTGAAACCATAGATATTAGTTGATCCCTTTTCTTTTTTACTATGCAACATAGTAATGGAACACACTGGAGTGATGCAATTTTTACAGGTACATCATTTGATCATCTAAATAATCCAAATACCACTAGGTTGGTTAGCTTTTCTTAAAATAAATAACATCTGTATTTTTTTCTAATTATTTTTTATCCAAGACCATGCAATTAAAATATTCAGTGTTTACTGCAAATATACCCTGTCCAATTTGACTTTTTATTATTTAACCCTGTTGTTTCACAGAGGTGACTGTCTCAGTTTTACTTTTAAAAGGTTTAAGTTTTTTAGATTTATTTCATAGTTCTAGGGCAGAAGTACAGATAACTGCAGAAGACTGATAATGCTTTAGTCTACTTTAGCTAATCTCCAAGATTCCCTAAACAAACACCTAATTCTCCTTTATTCTCTCATGCAAGAATCTACACAATGTCCAAATTTTCCAGGTGACATACTTGCAGAAAAATACTGAGGTAGTTTTACCAAGGTTATCTACAGAATCACTGTCAGCTGTTATTAAATTCTGGAGTTCCTGACATCTAGTCCTGAACTTTCACAAATATTACAAAATTTTTTCAAAACATCATAAAGCAATTTTCCAAATATGATACAGCATCTAATTCATATGGGATCTAATCAAAGTGCTCTGATATCCATACCAATCTCTCAAGTGCATAGCACTGCTCTTCAGGTTTTGGTTTCAGGCAGATAAATGGTATTCATTTCACATATTAAAAAATTGAAGTTCTCGAAATTAGGCCAGGCCTCTTCTCTGTGTCTCTTGAGACTTGAATTATCAAATTTATATCCTAACTGAAACAACAAGGCAGGAGGAGCAGATTTCAAAAGTTCCTATATATTATTAATAATCTGCATGTCAAAAAGGGAAAAGTAAATCACTGTTGAAATGGATTCTAGAGAAAAAGAGTTTAAAGTTATTCAGATAATTGGTCAGCTTTGGTTGTATTTTAAATTTGCTTTTATAAACATAGGAGCAAGAGGGCCTTATTCATACCTTTTTGTGTAAATGGAGTGGATGCTTCTCTATACAGCTTAACTAATTTCTCTCTGTTAATAGTACTAGGTTTGGAAGGCCTCAAATTTTGGAGTTGGTAGTTGGAGTTGAAAAATTGCATTTTTCAGAAATGTAGATGATCTTTGGGTAGTAACATTTATATACAGCATTATTTAACGGGTAAACATTTATTTGACCTGAGAAAATTTAGATGCCATCAAATACTAAGAGAATAATTAAAAATATGATAGCTAAAGATTTGATAGCAAAATTCAAGGTGACAAAATTGTCTGAATAATTCATCATTAAAATCATCAAAAGTTTTGAAATGTGAAAAAGCAGATTAGTCTGAAAAGTCAGTGGATCTTCTTAGGATAGAGAGGAATGCTTGATTTATAAATGAGACATACTGCCTGCACAATAAAATAATAACTAAAAGACCAGGCTTATGTAAAGGGAAATGTTGAAATAAAATAGAGAAAGCTTATTAGGAAGGTTAATTCAGCAAAGATCCATAAATATGTTGAGGTTAAATTTATAGTGGGGCTAACATTTTGTTGATAATTGAGCCAGTAACAAAAGCACAGCTAGTGCTTTTTGCAACTAGTCCTGAAAAGTTGATCTTGAGATTTCTGAGTTGGCTGATCTATGTAAACACCAGATGGAGCATAGAAAGTACACAGAGGAAATACCAGGGCTCTTCACCCACAGGCACTCTCCTCTTGGCACCAGTGGGGATCCCACATTCTAATGGCACTCGTCAGTGTCAGCCAGTGTGCCCATGACATGTCCTCTCCTCACATTCCTTTTCAAATCTTTTATTCCATGGCTTCTTTTCCTCAGGTCTGTTGCATGGGAAGAGTCTACATGGATTTGAAGGGGCTTAGATGAGC